TACTGTACCCTGTTTTTATCTTACCTTTTTTCACGCAACTATAGCCACAGTCACCATCGCACACACAATCTTCGCTTCGATTGCATTTATTCTGTGATGGATCACAGGGTTTGGCGCAGATATTGCTCTGACGGTTTGTACGAGTACAATTTTGGCTTCGAATACCTAATGGCAAATGTTGCAAAGATAACAGTTATCTTTTATCGGTTTCATTTTTGGTTGCTTCATGTCATTACCTGTCACTGAATTTAAATCAAGATCACGAGTAATGAAAATGCAGTGCAGTTACCTTGAATGGCGAATACAGCAAGCCACAGTCTCCATCACAAATGCATTCCTGGTTGTTTTTGCAGTTGCCAGCTGTGCCTGGATTGCACCCTTTCTTGCAGAATTTCCAAGGTTCACGATTGTTTCTTTTGCATATGCACTTTGGCTCGACCCTATTCCAGGTTCCAGTCCTCGCACAAGTCAGCGTGCTCCTGCCTTCCATTATGAATCCAGGCGAGCAAGTATACGTTACCTTTTGTCCAACTTCTAAGCTATCGTACTTCACTGATCCGTTTAAGATATTTCGTGGGACTTGGCACATCATTTCTAGAATTAACAGATGAAATATATTTTGTAGAGATGTGTAATAAAGAAGGCGTGGAAGAGCATGGTAGAAGATAAAAGGAGCAGATGGTTGTCGTGTTCTTGTGATCTTCGTCAATTTATTAATTTTACGACTATCATTCCACTAAGTTATGAATCTAGGCAATACAATGGCGCAAAGCATCATCCTGGAGGGAAAAAATTTGCCCCAAGAGGTATAGAAATGCTCTTTTCCGAGTAGTCTAATTGTTCATTATTTACACTCCTGAAAAAAAAAATTAATACAAACATCTAAAGTAAAAGTTACTGCTTTTGAAGGATCGTAAAATAACTCCAAGGGTTAACACCCTACTTTGTAATAGTTTCCTAATATAAACCGTTCAAGATACGAACATTATTTTGTTCTGTGTTGAATCCTGAAATTGGATGAATTTTAGTCCTTGTTATTCTACTGGTAGGAATGCTGGAGCATGCGTCTTACTCTACTTTGAAAACCAAATGAAGACAATTCTATGCTACTTAAAAACAATAGCAGATTTCTATGTTTTTAATTTATTGAAATGTCCAAGAGCCTATAATATAACCCACGTAGCGAGCGTTTGGAAAAATACGAGTGACGCGTGCGAAAGTGAACAGAAACGCGAAAGAGATGTCCCACCGACTCTCGCAACTCGACGTCCTGACTAACGCGTACCAACGCGTAATGATTCTAAATTGTTCCGCTCTAAAGAATCGCGCGTGAGAAGCAGGCCAAAGTGCACCACTTACTGCATGTAGGCTCTTGACCGTCCCAGGTGCCATTTCCTCTGCATGGTCTCTTTTTCGACCCTACTACCTTGTATGGTGATCTGCACTTATATACGGCGACCGACCTAAAGGTAGTATTCTTTAACTTAAGTCGACCGTTATTAATTCGGCTCAGCCGTGGACAATGAAGATCTGCAGATGAGAAGGCAAACAATAAAAGCGATGTCAATCATTGATTCATTTCTGATATTCCTCTCACTCACACAAACCTTAAAAATTAAAGAATACAAAATAGGAATTACCCTGGCTCCTGATTTTACCCCAACAGTATTACCCATAAATGAAATATAAAGCTCATGAGAATAAAGGAAATGATCACAAAATTTAAAGAAGTTCTTGATTGTCAAACAGATTTTCCTTGTCAGTAACATAGAAAAAGTAAAGAGAACAGTATGGAGAATATAGCTACTGATGTTAGGTTGTAAAAAGGTTAAAACTTTTTTATCCTCGATTTTCTTTTTATCAATGAGTAAGAGCATGCAAATATTAGTAAAACGTGGATCGGGTTACCATCAATCCCTTTAATATATTGGAACTAGAATAGAAAACACCTCTAATGTTTGTCGCGAAATGCACGATTCACCTGTTCTCCCTCGCACGCGTTATTTAGGATATCACGCGCTCCAAAGCTTGCTTGCTATCCCAAAGAACGGCTACGAGGGAGGTACATTTTCTTGTCACGCGTCAACGTGAAAGGAAGTTGTAAGGAAGGTGGTATTCACAAATGACACATGCGTGGGCTTCAGCCTTAAGAATGATAAACGGAACTGAAAGAGAAAAGCCGATAAAAACAGAAAAACCCTATCTCATATGAAAGCACGGCATCTATTCTAAATGCCCAGGTGCAGGTGCTCAACCAACTGAAGCTGTATTTTAGTTTTGTACGAGTCTTTCTCAATAAAAATGAACCAAATAGGAATTTGGCGTGACGGAAAACAAAACTTGAATGATGTGACATATTGAGGAACAATGGCAGGAACCCATGAGTGCTTTGATTAAGAAATTTAGAAAGGTACAGGTAGGCTATAACTTGCAATTTGAAAAAAAATGCAGAAAAGTTTTTTTTTTTTCGTTGAGTAGCTTAAAGTTATCGGTCAAATTTCTATATAGACACGAATGTCGCTGAAACAGAATGACCATTAGGCCAAAGGAGTCCTGCTGTGACCAAACTAAAGAGAAACACTTCTGTCTCAGCACAGTTCAGCGATTGCGGTAATTTTGATTTTATTCTCTAAATTCTTAAACGTGGCAAAGATCAGAATTTACGTGAAATATAAATGATATACCTGTGTTAAATTGCGTCTTGAAGAGGAACTTGAAGAGCTAAACGTAGAGGTTAGGAAATGCAAGGAGGTTTACTGTACCCTGTTTTTATCTTACCTTTTTTCACGCAACTATAGCCACAGTCACCATCGCACACACAATCTTCGCTTCGATTGCATTTATTCTGTGATGGATCACAGGGTTTGGCGCAGATATTGCTCTGACGGTTTGTACGAGTACAATTTTGTCTTCGAATACCTAATGGCAAATGTTGCAAAGATAACAGTTATCTTTTATCGGTTTCATTTTTGGTTGCTTCATGTCATTACCTGTCACTGAATTTAAATCAAGATCACGAGTAATGAAAATGCAGTGCAGTTACCTTGAATGGCGAATACAGCAAGCAAAATAATCGCGTAATTCATCGTGTTCCAAACACAACTTACGACGAATGTATGAACTCACACAGGAAGTATTACCTACTGAGTCACGACTGGCAAAGCATCAAGTTTCGCCTCAGCCTAAATGACACACATGATTGATGTGGATCCTGTTGTTTTGAGTTAGAGCTGCATGCTGTTTTCATTAACGTTTAGCCAGCTTTTTTCCCTGCTGCGCTTATGCATGGAGACCGCACGTAGATCCACACAATGTATAAATGTCTGGTTATTACTATAATCAAAGTCTCTGTTTCAAGGTCCATATGGCAATGTCTTTAGTACTGGTCTTTATGTTGCCGATGTCAAGGGAAGCGGGATAGTTGACGTTGAAGGAGTGTGTGTTTTGGATACAAGGGGGTGGGAGAGAAATCTGATCAAGAAAGCTTGGTTAAACAACGGGAAGAAACGGGTCATTCAGCGCAACAGGAACATGCCAGGTTGGGAACGTCATAACCTTCACGGTAGAGAAAGATAAGGCCGCAAGGTATTTCCTGGCGACTGTTGTTACTATTGGGTATCAAAAGCTTAAATTTTTTTTCAACAAAGATAAAGTTTCATTCCTGCCTAAAATCGTCGTTTCAAACAACTGAGCTTTAACCAAGATTTCAATTGTGTTGCAATTATGTAAGGCAGATAATCTCGTCTTCATTTTTGTAACAAACAAACATTAAAAAAGCAGATTCCTCCGGAATAACAGATGCTTCGTATTTATAAACCAAGCCTAATTCAAATTTAGCTAACCATATTAATTAGTAATTGCAATCAATTCATATTCTCTTTCTTAATTAGTAATTTCAATCAATTCATATTGTCTTTCTTAATTCTGTCCGTTTAAGCTTCAAAGGAAGTTTTAAAAGTCACCAACATTCTTACTGATTGCTTCGCCAAAAAGATGATTACCAAAATGGCGCCCACCAACGCTCTGGGAAGAATGGTACTTTGCGGCTGTATGTTATTTCCGCTAGTGGAAGGTAAGATTCAAACACCTAGCTAACAATATTACAGCATGTAGATAAAATTTTTTTGAGGAAAAAGGAACAGAAACTCCTGATTTCTGCACCTCGAGGTCGCTTGGCAGGATTTCCCAAATTTTGTCTCTTACGTACGTACTCTACACTTCCCGTTTTCATACGGAGTCATGAACAGCTGGTTGTCTTGCATAAACAAAGATATCTGTTACACGGAGGCATCATGCGAAGAGGCTATTGTATAACACAATGAAAGAACCGCCTTGCAAACTTAAACTATGGGGAGGGGGCTGGGGAAGAACGTCTTGCTCCAGCGATGCGATAACCTTCCCCTCCCCTCCCCGCCTAGAAGAAATGATTTTTGACATGAAAAATTTCGTGCTACCCCTTGAGAGTAAAAATATAGGAAAGTCGCTCACGAATTTCCCACTTCCGGTTCAAATGAATACCGTAATATAACGACAAATTTAAACTGTCATGGGATGTTTAAGAGCCTCAAAAGAAACGAATTCTCAAGACCAAACACTTTAGTGAACAAAGATAAAGAAACAGTCCATACCCTATCTCTTTATCTCTTAGCTTGCAGATTAGACGTCCATTTTTCAGTCGAACGGAGGCAAGTGTGAGGCGAGCGTGAGGTGCGAGTCACGCGCGAGGGGAGTAGCGCCTTCCCTCGTACGCGAGTCGCGCATACCTCGCCCTTGCCTGCGTTCGCCTAAAAAAAACAAACAACACAACACTTAAGCCTGTTCCGTAGGCTACTCTCTCTCGTCTAAGAAATAGAGGAGTCATGTGAAAACCTTTCCCCACCTACACAATTTATCTATGATTCGCCACTACTCATCGATCTATTCGCCGAAAAGACATTGTAAAAGCGTAAATCTTCTTTTAAAAAGCTTCATTTTGCGGACCTCCACCTCTTCCAACCAATGCTGCTATTCGCTCTGAGTCATCAAAGCCAACATCAAGCGGTTACAACGAAGGAACCCTAATATTGTACACTTGTAAGCCAGGATATCAACGCTTGTCTGGACTTGTTTTTGTGAAGTGCTTAGGAACAACGTGGACGAAGTCAACATTCATTTGTGTAGGCAAGTACAATAAATTAAGAAAAACAAATGACGCCATAATACCGTCAAATAATTTGCAACCTTCAGCATAGCCTTGCGTGACTCCTGGTTCGTGACACCAGCCACAAGGGCATGCCTCAATAGATGGTCGGCTAAATCCCTCTTATATTTTGACAATAGCGTAACACCTTGCTTTCGGGTTTTAAATAAAAATACTACAATTTGGCCAAGCTGAATAGATAACGACAGGAGAAATGTATGTATCATAAACAATTATACTTTTCAAAATGTTTCATTCGTGTTATTTTTGTCATTTTAAATGAGTATTGAAAATTGCTTTAATTTTTAGCTTCGAAAAAGTGCCGAAGCCCACGCGTGCCCAAACATGGTAAAAAATTTGGCAGTGCTTACTCTGTTGGCCAAAGGGTGATATTTTCATGTAATACTGGATTTGTCTTGCAAGGAGCCGCAGTAATAGAGTGCTTGAAAAATAAAACCTGGAGCAAAGCAGTGCCTATGTGCAAAGGTAAAAACGACAAAAAGGAAACCAAAACAAAAAAAAAAACCAAAACAAAAAAAAAAGAAAAAGTGACAGTCCAAGGGATATCGTATACTCGCAACCATAGCAGTAGTGTTAAAAACGAAAATCAGGTGTAGAATGCTAATATAATGGAAACTACGCTGATAACCCAGGGACAATTAAAATAGTTTTTTAACGGTTGAAAAAAGTGTTTTAGGTACAATTTTTAACAGCAAACACTTTGGATCGGCACAAGAGACCATGAGCCCTTGAACAGCACGAAGACACCGAAAGTCCAGCAACCTCTCGGTGACTAACGTTTGGACCTTTTTATAGAAATTGTCTGCGAACATACCGACAACACTTAAACGATGCCATTCACGTTTATCTCTAATGTCCATCAAACATTTTCATTCTGCTAGTTGTTGACTGTGGAAGTCTGACAGCTCCAACCCATGGGAAGAAAATCAAGGAGACTAAAACTACGTTCGGTGGTAGAGCTGATTTTATTTGCAGGAACAAGCGATATTCAATCGTTGGTAGTCGTAGAAGGTTTTGTCAAGCAAATGGTGAATGGAGTGGCAAGCCAACTCTTTGTAAAGGTATACCCGTTCATTTTTCTTTGGTGAAAGAAGGTCACGCAGTTTTAGCCTATGGAACGTGCTTCGTACTTCTAAGTTTTTCAGCAATGCGGAGGCCAGGGCAAGGCGTGAACGAAGATAGCGTGGGAGAGCGAGACCCGTGGAGAGGAGGATCTTGTCTTGCCTGTTACACTTGTTTCGCGCTTGCCACCACTAGCTTAAAAGAAAAAGCAAAACAAAACAAAAAACGCCTGTCCCGCAGGATAATGTGATCACTTTTCGGCTGAGTGTTGTAAAATTTTTAAGATCATATAACTGCATTCAGCTCATTGCAGAAACCCAGGAGTGCCAGTTGGAGGACGCAGAATTGGGAACAACTTTAAGCATGCAAAACAAGTGAGTTTCCACTGTCAAAAATCACTGAAGATTCAAGGGCCCAGGAGAATCATTTGTTACGATGGGACCTGGAGTGACCGTAAACCCAAGTGTCTGCCCCCTTCCCAGGTGAAAGGTAATACAGTGTTCATCCACTGTCCTTTTAATTTGTTTTTGGGAAAACCGCCTCAGTCAATTCACAAAAGTATTTTAGTTCTTTACCTCCCCTCCCCCATTTATCTTTACCTAAGTACGTAATAGCTTCGCAATTCAAAGAAAACGCACCATCCCCTCCTTAAATAAAACTGCGCGACTGAAATAGTATGTGAGCAAAGAATTGGAGTTCAAATATTTACTTGCTAAATTTTTAAACTGTTCTTTTTATTATTTTTAGATTATTCCAAATGCGGTGAGAGGAAGAGAATCCGCCTTTCTCGAATGGTGGGTGGTGTGATTAGCACCCGAGGAATGTGGCCTTGGCAGGCTGGACTTTATAGAATTGACAAGACGACCGGTGAGATATGCAATGTTACCTAACATTGTACCCTTTTTCTGAAGACTTCTTTTTCCACAACTTTCACAAAGCTAAGCGGGATGCGAAATCAAGGCGGGTACTGGAAATAGGCGCGGGGAAGAGTAGACCGAAGAAAACGAGAAACTGAGGTCGAGCGCATGAATGGGAAACACTCCGTTTTCCCGCCACATTTCTAATTGATTAACTCAAAATCCCCCAAGAAAATACGAGTTATACTAAGGGCGATGAACTGGTCTGCAGACACCTTTTACATCAAGTCATATCAATCTTATACCATAAAAACAACTATCAATAATTGAAGTGACCAAAAACACATTCTTCACTAAAAAATAATCTATGGGTTTCTTTTCTTATTCCTTTGACGTAGTCTGTCCTTCCTCGGCCCCGTCCTCCCTGTGTTGAAGGGATGCTGTGCATTTGCTTTAGAGATTGTTGTTCTTATCTAGTTTAACATTTCCATTTTGTATGTAGGGAGAGAACATTTTCTCTGTGGAGCTGCCCTAATCGATCGACAGTGGATAATCACTGCTGCCCACTGCTTCATGTACACAAGCTCGGATGATCACATTAGAAAATCTCTCATTTCACCACCAGAATTGTGAGTTTTCTAAGTATGTGACTAGGAATTACAGAAGAATTACAGAAAGAAGCCAAACTTTAACGATTTCAATTTTCATCATTTGCGACTTTTGCAGTTTTTCTATGGTAGTTTTCGGACAATGCCTTGTGTTTTGCCGGCTTAATCGTCATGACTGAAATCCATCTTAAGCAAACATTTTCAACCTCACTCACTGGCACAATGAATGGAAATTTTTACAAGAAATTTAGAGGAAAAAAAAGAGAGAAATTTAAGCTTGCCACATTAACGCAGAAAATGATATTTTATTAAGTTGGAGATCGATTCTTCGGAGAGCTCTAGACCTTCAAAACAGTTAAAACCCCGCAGCTTTATTTCTGCGTGGTAACTGACTTATTATGATTAATTCATGGACAAAAAAAAAACTTATGACAGTACCAGGTTTCTCATTTAAGTGCGTTTTCTCCTCAGGTACAAGATTAAGGTCGGTGACACTGTGCGCACCGTAGAAGAAGCCTCGCAACGCGTGTATTTTGCCACCAAAATTATCATGCATCCCCAATACCACGACGACTACAAAGAAAACGATATTGCCCTAGTCAAGTTATCTTTCAGAGTCACACTCACTCAGAATGTGCGAAAAGTTTGCCCTCCACAGGCAGAAAACAGCTCGTCATTCCACGAAAGGGTGACGCCGCCTGGAGCTCATGGATTTGTTGCCGGTTGGGGATCCACCCAAGTGCTTAATCCAGGAGAGACGGCCAACTCGGAGAGTTCCTCATCAGAGGTATTAAGGTCTGCTCAGTTTCAAATTCAAGACTCGAAACTTTGCCAAAACTCGACTGACTATCACTTTAACGAGTCGTTAGAATTTTGCGCTGGAAGCGATAGAGATGGAATCGGACCGTGCACAGGTGATAGTGGAGGTCCTTTTGTTATGAGGGTGTTGATGGGTGGTGCTTTGAAATGGGTCGTCGTTGGTCTTGTTAGTTGGGGAGAGGGCTGTGGTATTTACGGTCGATATACATATTACACAAGGCTAGCACCATACATAGACTGGATACATCAACATGTTCGAAAGTAGATGAGCTGAGGTATTATTTTCTCCTGGCCGAAGAGAAGCTGACCCAACGAGCAACACAGCTTGCATTACAATTAGATAAATTCAATGTATTTTTGTAACATTAAGTAAGGTGCTTGTCTTTTTTTCTATAAGATCATGGATAGAGGCAAACAGACAAAAGTGTGTTTCCTACGATCGCAGAGGCAGTTAAACGTTTCTGACTTTTCTGAATGCTTGAAACAGCCATGTAATCCAGTCACTTTTTAAAATGAAAATGAACTTAGGTGGCGTTTCCATATGGAGTGAGGTGATTTCGTTTCTTTTCCATTTCACAAGAAGAGAAACAGGCAACACATTCATAACGTTGCATTTCAGGTCGATTGTTAAGGTATCTTTCGGCAAAACATAAGATAAAGAACAAAAAGGCTATGTACATCAACCTCTTTCTTTCATATTATTGAACTCCTTCACCTTCATCATTAAAGCTATAGCCGGACTTTATACCAATTTCGCTAATCTCAATCTTTCGTACGAGTATTACACAAGGGCGTTGGAATGATCTAAGATCGTCTAAGAGCTTAAAGCTACGACGTAGACCTAGCATATGCTTCAAAAATGCCTAGACCTGTGCTTTTATCTTTGCGCTTTTGCACAGTCTGAGTCATCTGTTCGATTCGATGGCACGCAAAATCAGGTTATATTTTAACAAGAGCCGAGGTTAGCTTTGACATTTACTCGCCCCTCCCCTCCCCTCCCACCCACATAGCCGGCCCAACGACTTGAGCGCAAAACCTAAAGAAATTATGAACACTTTTGTAAGCGTAAAGCTAGGAAATAGCTTTGGAACGTCGACATCTAATAGTAACTTGTAAGTCCTTATCTCATTGCACTTAACAGAGTGCGTAAATAAACATCTCCGCCCTTCTGCATACGTTAGTTTCTAGCAAAGCAAAGAAATGCTCTTTTCAAGACTGGACTGACTGACATGGCAATCTTCATTGTGTTATAGGTTACTCTCAGTAACCGAGAGTGCACCGAGTCCGAGCAAAGTCCTGATGTTCAAGTTCTCTTAGATGTCCTTGTCAGTAGTAATGATGCCTTAAAACCTTTCCAAAGTGTGATCTTTTAAATCTTCAGGAAAACATTTCTAGTATATAGGCAATACGCTATGAGAACCCACAAGGCAGTGCCAGCTAAGCTCATGCCTAGTTTCTCCGCGTGGCCGCCATACTCGTCCATCTCCCAGCTGAAGGGAAAGTGTCTCCACAGAATACCATGACCAACGTAAACAAGAATGGAGTTCATACCTGTAAAAGAGGAGTCATTCATCAAAAGAAAAAAAAAAAAAAAGAAAAATATCAGCAGTGATCGAGAGAGGATAGAGCGTCGAGCTAAAACCCTTAAAATGGCCTTAATTCAAAGTTAATCCCTATTAAATCACTCCTGTTTTTGAAGATTCCAAGAGAACATAAGAATAATCAATCCTTATAGTCTTTTGATACAGTGTTTTTTCCCCCACAAAATAAATCATACAACAAGAGAGCTTGTAGCGATTCTCTCTTGTACAAAAATTGTAAGATGCTATTTCGCTTGGGTTTTTTTAACCATATTTAATGATGAAAATCAGCTTATATTGTTTTGGGATCACAATATTTGACAGACAGCAAGGAGACTAGAACGTTATATCGCAGTTTACCATGAACACAATGAATTAATTTTGTCACATTTACCCAGATGAGGTCCCCTCTTTCGAAAATACAGATCAGCTCGTCATCACGAGGATATTTTGTTAGCGATAAGCCCAAGGGAATTTAGGTGATCCCAACTACAAGCCGAAATTACAGCAGACTGTTTTGTCAATGACAAAAAAATACATTATAGCTTATTACATTTAACCTACGCATCGTCCAGAAATCGTTTCCCTTTTTTTGGATTAAATAAGCTAGTTAAAAAGCGTTTCCAATTATTGGGTCTCTTGTAGTCGCAATAAATTCCTTTGTGTGTCTACGTCATAGCTGTTTTCCCAGACTCTTACCTGGGTAAAAGAAGGGTGCACCATTCCACCAATCCAGGACGTCAGTCAGAAGATAACAAATAGCAAACAGAAAGAATGCACTCGCTCCCGTGGCTAGGATGAACGACACTGACCTAAAAAGATACCTCCTCGTTTACAAACATTTCTGGCCATTAAAAGAAGATAATTTCATGCATTTACATTTTACGGCCAGTGTAAATAGCACGTATAAACCCAAGCGACTTTTGGCAAGGCCCAAGTTATTAGAGCGCGAAATTTAAAAATAAAATGCATCATTTTGTTACCATAAATTTTTGTTGATTGGAACGATGCCTTCATTTTTTGTGGCTCCACACAGGCCCAACGTGAATGCAGTCTGAAGAATGTAACATAAAAAAAAATTATTTCAAACCCTCACGTGATTCAAAACTAGATAAAATGTTCTGAGTAATATATGATCGTCAATGAAACCTCTCACCATTAGAACTGCCCAGATTATCCATCTGATGAGTCGTGGTTTATGTTTGCGATGAATGGTGAGTATGTGACCAGCCTAGCAGGAAGAAGAAAAGAATACAGAAAGGAACCGGTCATTAAATATCGCCTGGGCGGTCCCCACACTGGTAGTTAATCAGCAGTCATTTTTCGATAATCCCTCTTTTATACTAAGTGTTGGCGACATCCAAGAGAATATAAGCTATCTTCTCTTGCGACATCTGATCTCTACTCTGTTCCTCCCTGAAAACCATGTGACTCACTGCTTGCCACTGTACCGGTGAAATGAAGACTCACAATAGACAAAGATAGCTCCACGGATAGCCTGTTGGTAGGGGAGACTCAAAATGGCGGGCGATTTGAATTTGACTGTAATAACGCAAGTTTTTTACACGAAACGAGGAAATATTGTACTCCAAACAAACCTACTCCCAGAAAAATAACTCTACTGATATTTTGCGACCGTTTCTGGGTATGTTTTAATGCTTTTGACGAGTATAACAAATACTAAGTGTTCGTTGCGGTTCTCCTCATCGTCCGCCATCTTTATTTTTTTCGATGAATTCAAAATTAGTAGGGGAGGGGCTAATGCCCTTTTATAGCGCGCCTTCGTGTTTAACCTGGCGATACTTAATGACTGGTCCCTAAAGAATGCTTTTCCATTCGGTTCTTAATGTTGTCACTTGGCTGTCTGGCTCCGGTAGCCCCTATAATTATTCCAGGCAGCCATTACATGGCAAGGGAGCTTACAATCAACGATTATTGTTGTCGTTGTTGTTGTTTTTTTTCTATTGATTGTTGTTGTTATGACAGTAATGTCATAGAAGTTTAATTTTAAGTCAAATCATCCAAAAGAACTAAGCTCTCACAATTTATTTCCTCTACGCTGTTTGAACAGATCTGATAATTATTCACTGCACGCAAGGTGTGAATCCGATAAATTGAGTATTGTTTTCTTAAGCAACCAAAATTGACCGTGAAAAACAACGAGGAAAATTTGAAATCGCTCGTGCAAATTTCCTAGTCATCATGCATTCATCCGGCTTTCGGTAGAGTCACTCTTTCTTCAAGAAAGTCTTCGAAGTATTGTACCCCTCTGAAATTATATCTTAGATGTCCTACAACCTATATCGTGTAGTCCAGGACACTGTGGGCCTGTAAGCAATACATACAAGATGCTGGCACTGCAGAACACGTGGAGAATTTAGTCATGGTTTGCGAAGAAATACAATTGAAACGGTTAAGGATTGTGAAACTCAGGTAAGCGGCTAACAGAAGCGAAATAACTAGCTAATATATTCATACTTTTTCTTATCGTTCGTTCAACTGCAGAAGGGTTCTGCAGTTCACTTGGTCATAACAATGTCGATTTTCGTTGAATGCGCCGCAGTTTTTGCGATGCAATTGGCCAATATATACTCAAGGTGACGATGCGATGTGGTTTGAAAGATATTTGTTGCCCATATGTCTGTGCTTGTATATATACTATCTGAAGGCCGATTTTATCGTAACAACAAGAAGCAGGGTGCATGTATATGAGGCAAAATAATCATTAGCTCCCTACCACAAGTTCGCAGGTTTGTTCAATTTTCCTTTTGTTTTCGTTTGTTGCGTTTGTGTGTTTGTTTGTTTTTTGTGCACTGCAAAATGATTGTTAAATTTGACACGATCAGAGTGCTAATATGTCGTAATATATCCATAAAAGAGATGGAATTAGGATAAGTAAAATGGATTGTTCATGGTAGCTCCTTTCTGTATACACCTGTTTTTCCATAGATATAGCAAATAATTTTTTATTTCATTTTCTTACCTGAACGCCAAAGAAAACCAAAACAATAGAAGTTAGGCATCCAAGTATACCTTCCGGGTCATATGGTAGGGTAGTTTTGTAAACATCCTGTTCGAGCGAGAGATTTTTGATTAGGTGTACATGTTGGGCCGACCAAAAAGATAGTTAGATAGTTTAATAGGAATAACTAAGTCGCAGCCAAAGGCTGAATTGAATAATCATTTAAAATATAATTATAGTACAATTAAAACTAGGCTAAAACCTAGGCTTTTCACAACGGTACCGGTCACTATATAAATAAAATGCTCTGTACAAATTACTGGCTAAGAGCAGTGCGGTTAACGAGGCATTGCTATTTACTCGATGGCACTCAGAACTTTAGTGCGCATGTATCTTGAGATTACACAGTCAGGAGAAATGACAATGATGTTGTTACATTACCTTGGTGGTAGGAAATCTGTAAAGATGGTTGCCTAAGGCAATTCTGTCAATGTACCCCGCCATTCCTCCAGTGCACTTGAAAGCATCTGGGTATCCTTGCCCAATGCCGCCCGGACCTGTGTAACCCCTGCAGTCGAGATGCAGTCAGTAAGTCGGTTGTCAACGAATAGGGCAAATCTCGAACTGTTATAAACTCATTCAGAAAGCGTAAACTGCAAGCACAGTTGATGTAAAATCATTCAAGGTTAACTACCCTGGTCACTTTTTGATCGTCTGTTGAAACTAAGCCGGAATTGTGTTAGTATTGCTGTAGAAGGTTCCATGATTGGTCCAGAAAAACTAGTACAGCCCCCTCTCGACCAGTCAGAGGCAAAGAAAAACCAAGCCCTAACGAATAGCTAACGCTCGAAATTAAGCGTCAGTGTTAGAAACTCTTTACGGTAGCCAATCAAATCAAATTTTCTTATTAAACCAAGTGCGTCCTCGTCAATTATGGTCGCCCGCGCTTCAAGCAGTTGTTTTGACTGGCCTTTGTGTTTACGTTTGCTTCGGTCATACATGTATGACTCCGAATCAGAACCTGCTTTAGCATTTGAGATTGTGTTTAGCATCTCTCTTCTAAAATAAAACAATCTCTACTCCTTACTTGGGACAGCCGGGCACATTTACTCCATAGGTAAGGGTAAGATAGCCAGCGAGTAACATCAATACAAAGATCCACTGTTTCCATAAACCGAACGCATCTCGGAACACTTCCCACCACCTCTTCTACGGTAAACAAGGAGTAAGAAAAACTTTCAAACATCTAATTCAATCGCTACACGATTACAAAGAATGAGCTTGTACAAAAGTTTTAATGCTACCTTTTTTTTTATTCTGTCTTTTAATCAGATGCTACCTTTTTTTCGCCCTTTTCCATCGGAGACAGCAGCAACTGCATCATGGCTACGAAGAAGTAACAAACTCCAAACCTTTGAAGAACTCCTGGGATTCTGTAGTATTTCAGATTACCATCTGAAACGATAAAATGACTTTATAGTAGAAGTCCATGATTGGCTTTACAAGCAATGTCCCCTAGATACAACGAACTATCTTGTTAGACGAATACAAATTGTTCGCAAAGCTAATCATGTGCTAAAAGTGCAGTTAACTCTCACCTGGCGGACACCCCACGATTACGAACGCACCAATACCCAACACACAAAAACACACACACACACATACTACTAGGAGGTTTGGTTAGTATTACGAGACTTGCAGTCTGTCATTGTCAGAGCATGACTCAATTTCCATAGGAGTAACCGCTCTATACAAATATTTTTTTCAGAAGAATTACTCTATTGTTCAATCATATCGGGAACCTTACTATTATTATTATTATTATTATTATTATTATTATTATTATTATTATTAACCGAAGCCTAACATTTGTGGGTTCAAAATGCCCGTAGTTATGTCTAAACCACGTATAGGTACTTTGTTGTCTCGATCGCCTCGAAGCAAATCATTTGTTGACAACCGAAGACCTTCTTATTAGTAACTTACAATTGCTGGTAAACAGACCCAGTCCGAACAAGATGACGCTTCGTTTCAGGATTTTCCATGCGATTCTAAGCTTTCTGGTTTTTTTACGTCTCAAGGAGCGAAAAGATAAAGTAATTGAGACACCCATGATCCAGATAAACCTAGAATAAACAAAAATCGATCAGTGAGTGGTAAATGAATGAATAATGAAATAGATAAAAAGATGAATAAATAAAAAACTAAATAGCTAAATAATGTAGAAAGAAATAATTTAACTTCGAATAACAACAATCATTTCCAATCCAGGCCACACCAACTCGAAGAGGGTACGAGGCGATACATTAGAAAACCCTGTTCTTTCGTTTTAGTGTGAACCGAATGCCAATCGGAAATGGACCTTTTCGAAATTGTTTTCATGACCGTCTTGCTTGATCCTGACCTCAATTAACAAATATTGGATGAGGTGGAGCATGATAGCGATAATTATGAAGGCCAAGGCTTGAAGGCCAAAGATAATAATCAAGGGCGAGGCGGAAGGTTGAGACGGATAACAGACTTTGGCCTTGATAATTATCGCTATCATGCTCAACCTAATCCAATAATTGTTAATTATCTGCAACGTACCATGGAAAGACAAGATCAGCGACCAGCAATCCTGTTAAAAAAAAGATATAGAAAGTGAAGCAATGGAATCAGTATACCGCTGTCTCAGCCGTAGAAGATTGATAGAGTCAGATCACTGTCACAAAACACAACATTTGGTAGTATTTAAATAATTTAATCGTTAATTTTTTTTCTCTTAGAAGTAATTTCTTAAATGATATCCAATAGCGGTTTTTAATGAGGTTAAAAGTCGGAGGCTTAAGTCTCCATTAACTGATCAAAATGGAGAGAGAATACACGTAGTCTCCTTGGGAGACGCTGTTTGGTACCGTCACCCAATACATCCGCTCCCCCTCTAGGGAGAATGCTTTGGATGAAAATACCAAACTACGTCCGCAAAGAAGACCAAAGAGAGAAGAGGCGTGCGTTTCAAATCGATTTGTTATACTTTACCATTCCACACGGCGTGCCCGAAAAAGTAATATCCACCCCCACCATAGTTCACAAATATCATCAGTGTTATAGCAATTCTACAAAAGGAGAAAAGAGTAGTTTAGTAAACAAACTTGGGTTAAAATGTTATAATTTCCGCTAAGTATAATCAAACTTTACTTTCGAGCACGATCGACGCATAGGGTTGCTCCAATTGAAATTTTAGGACACATTTCCATCGATTACCGTAAAATGAAACTCAAAGAAATCACAGCGGCCTCTAAGAAAAAGGACGAATCTTGTGAGGAGCTGGTGAGCACTTCCTTTTAAAACAAGTTGATTTCAATCAAGCGTGCAAACGCAGGAGTGGCCAATCAGTCGATGGATTTAAATTAGCACCTGATTAATCGAGAAGTGGTTCACGGTGTTTCTCGGAACTCGTATCAAAAAACGCTCGATTTTAAAATTTGCTCCACCCCACCCCCAAAACTGAATCGTATCGTTTTCATTAGTACACAAAATGTCCACTTTTAAATTCAAATGAAACAGAATGAAATTGTTTTTAGTTCGGTCTTTTCACCATTTTGGGCAAGTCTATAGATGGTAAGCTTTAGCGTATGTAGTCTAATTACCCTTTTTCACTAAAAAATTATGTCGAATATATCTCACTGGCAATAAAGTGGCAATATACTCATTATGTTCATGCTGTTTCATGACATACCCTCGAAAAGTATCCAAAGACTTTAACCTTCTCGGCTTGGCTTTCAGTTGAGTCTGAACAAAAACAGAGAACTCCTATGAGTAAGGGCGACACATAAACTTCTTTTGATCAAATAGGTATATATTCCTTCTTCAGGTCCTTTATTATTGGAAAAAAGTTATAAACTGTAATCGGGGGGAGAGAACAACATAAAGGAAAAGAACGGAAGAATAAGCGAAACGAAAAGGGAAGGGGAAGAAGAAAATATAAATTGGAAGGAAAAGGAGAAACAAGATCGCATTTTACCTCTGGTTGCATTTGTTCTTCTCCTTCTCCAGTGACTCGCTAATGGTGAGCAATAATATTAATCGTTCAGTGATTTACTAATCAACTAAATTACCAAAGAAAGCTCCATCGTTGTCTGTATACTTTTGACAGAAAAAAAAAACAACAACAACAACAACAACAATTAAAACTTAGAAATGCGAGGCGATCAAAAATATCAATGCGAGGGTTTAATTTTGACTACAGCTAGCTTTCGGACGGGGTAATCAACTTTTTCAAAGGTACCAGGGACAATTAATCAAGTAAAACAAACTTGAAATAACCATCTTCATTAGAGCATACCATTTCCGTGTCCTCTCTGTCATCGCTCTCACCCTACAAGAGAAAAATTGAAAAAACTTCCTTTTTTGAGTTGTAAAGAATAACGTTTATTTTGAATAAACTTGCTGGATTATCAGATATGGAAGAGCGACCGAGTCTTAAACTGATACGGACAAAAAAAATGTGCGTTTCCTGAAGTAAACATTTTGAAACGTGACCTTTCGGCTTTAAAATCAGGATGATTTCTTTAAATTATTTATTCTGATAGACTGAGCACCGAAATTCACGCTGTAGGTGAAGCTTTTCTAAACGGTTTCAGTGGGGGTTGCCTCCCTAAAATGACGGAGATTTTTAATCTCTTCTCACTCCTAATCAGTCATTCTAAAGAATGATTCTGTTTCATTAAAACTGGCCGGTTCAGCGTGGACATGTCAATGCTCCTACCTGATTCATAATGTTCGAATCATCTTTCTTGCAGGCGACTTTGCACTTCCTGTTTATGAAAATACATGAAATCAAGCCAAAATTAAAGTAAATTCATGGAAACCTTTTGATAATTCTGAAACTGAGCGATGACTTGTCGAGTGTTTTTAACATGAGCCACTAGCTCGAAAGATTGAGCACCCACTCCCTACATTATCGACTTTAAATAAATTATTATTATTATTATTATTATTATTATTTAGTATTATGAACTGCTAAAGGAACTCGAGTAAACGATGTCAAGATTAGGCTAATGGTACACTAATGGATGGTAAGACATATTATATTAATTGTTATGTATGCGTTTCCCTTGAATCGTATGCATATATTATGCGATCTGCCATTCTCGCGTTTGATCCTTTGTCGACGCGAGATTAGACCGAAAAAGCCAGAGATTAGCTACGTCTTTCTCCCAACCCAAAGCAAGATAATTTTATCCAATAAAAAGAATAAAAAGTATCCAATAAAGAGAATAAAAAAATAAAAAGTATCCAATAAAAAGAAGGTATAGTATCCAATAAAAAGAAGGTATAGACCACAAAGAATCAATGAGAACACAGAACGTAAACAAACAAGCAAACAAACAAAATGAGCGGAAAAACTCGGGGAAGCAAATAGCGATTGGTTTTATTGCTTTTCAGAATCGGTTGACAAGGCAGCACAGTTTTAAGACCAATCACAAAGCAGATTACACGTAGTTCAAAATTGTTCTTCTATAAAGTAATTGATTTTGAGTAACTAATTACCTTCCAATGCAGGTGAGTAGAGCCCATATAACAGCCAAGCAAAATAGCGCTCCGAGGGCTATCCACAAAGCTGATGATAAAAGAGAAAGACAAAGCAGGAAATTACGTTTCAAACGTTCGTTTGTTCGTCCATTTATAGAAGTTGACTTTTGTTCGCCTTTTTTGCTCATATTTGTTTCTCGTGAACTTTCCTTGCATTATTAATACTTTCGTTTTGTTCATTTCAGAAAAAGAAAAAAATTGGCTGCCACTCAAGTGATCCTAACTGTCCATAGTGTCAAGATAGAGTCTTGATTTTCAGGACTAAGATTGACCAATAGAGTAGAATGAGATAGGCGGATACTCACGCATATATGGGTAATCAGGTGACCTCTTGATCTCAAGTTTACACGTGACTTTGTTTGATGATTGGTCATCAGACTGATGGATATTATATTTGTACCAACCTCTCCCGCCAAAAAGGTAATTAAGTCTGCAAAACATGTCAAATGGTCAACGTCTACGCGAAAAAATCAAGGACAAAACCTGGAAAAAGTCAAGAAATTGATTTACAGTGATTTCAGGACCTAATTGCAGTTGTTCATCGAAAGGTAGCTTCCTTTTAACGCATGGTAATAAATACAGTAACGTCTCTTTCAACTGATTAACGTCCAGGTGAGTTATATTGCTTTTTAGAATAATTTCAGAGCTGAGCAAAGAATTTCCAGCGATCTGATTGGTCGAGCGGTTCCTTATATGACGCTATATAAACCGCTGCACGCGGTTTATATAAAATGTTAGAATAAACTGTTAATACATGTTACTAAAATGTTATTATTTTAGAAATTTCTCTGTTGTTCAGGTCTGAAATTATACTAAAACAATTATTCACCTCACCTTCGGGGAATATTGTCGAATAATCCCCTCGACTTCGTCTCGGGGATTATTCGACGATATTCACCTCACCTTCGGGGAATAATTGTTAAATAACGCAGGTAGCACAGCAGGTAAATTGATCTCAAACTAGACAAATACACCTACATATACAATGCCACACTCAGATTGAGATAAAATGGAAAACGTTTGGTTGACTTTTTTTTCTTTTTTTATCAAATTCCCGAAAGTTGTCCTTCATTTCCCCACCCTTACCTTTGCAGTGTCGATTTCTGCTT